ACCCTTTGTTTTCTGTTGTTTCTTTTGATCCTTGTTTTTATCTTGGTGGATCTTCCACAAAAGCTCTGAGCACATTGAATGACGGAAAAGAAGCTTAAAGTTGTATTGCTCTTGTTACAGGTGTTTTGATTGATTAAGTTGTATTCACTGTGCAAATTTATGTATTTCTTTCTGATGTCTCTTCAGGTAATGGCTTCTTCTGGTGACTCATGGATCCGGGAGTATAATGAAGCACTGAAAATTGCGGATGATATCACTAACATGATATCTGAAAGGAGCTCATTGCCTGCTTCAGGCCCAGAAGCGCAACGTCATTCATCCGCTATAAGGAGGAAGATCACAATATTAGGAACTAGACTTGATAACTTACAGTCTCTCCTGTCAAAGCTTCCTGGAAAGCAGCCTTTGTGAGTGTTCTTAGTCTGAGTCTTTCATTGTGTGGCTGTGATGGTTATGTATAAAAGTAGAATTCCATGTTAAATTGAGTCTTCTACTGTGTGGGTGCAAATATATTGTATAACAGATAGAGTGCTAATGGAAAAAAACCCCGCTCAATTAAAAGAAATGGCCGGATTTGTTTTTCTATCTTGCAGCCTTTTGACATCTTTTTAGTAAATTTTGTATCTGTTTCTAGAACTGCTACTGATTATTGAATGTCATCTGTCTTGCTATGTGTTTCTAACATGATTGGGAATGTTTATTTAGTTGAATGTGTTTCTGATCCTATTTTATTCAGAAATGACATTTCAATTTCATTTCCATTTACCGGGACTTTTGATACCCATGAATCACATGTTTTTCGGCCAAAGTTTCCTAGGGTTTTTGTCTGTATTACTCAATCCGAAGTAAATTTAACTTGGATTTAATACTGCAATTTTGGCTTGACATCCCTTAAGCGCCAACTGATATATTGTAAAAAGTTAAAATTCTTATTTCTTTTTTTCCTTGAAAATCTTATAAAGTTTTTGAACACATTTAATTTGAAATATTGAGAGTTCCATGGAAATGAACTGCTGAAATAAAGGTTTAGGTTGGTATATACAATAAGTTGTATGTGAATTGTCCTTATGGTAATTCAGATGTTGAAGACTCTCTTCTGCAATCTGACTTATCAGTCTGACTAACAGTGTGGACAGTTGTGTCTTTCTAAAGTCCCTGTGAATTTTGTGCGCATGCTGCACCATCCATCTCTAGATTTGAATAAACTGACGTATTTCTGTTACTACTGTTATGTTGCCTTCTGGATGTATTTGATGAGCATTCTCTACTGTATGTAGGACTGAGAAAGAGATGAATCGTCGCAAGGATATGCTTGCAAATTTAAAATCGAAAGTAACCCAGATGGCCTCCACATTGAACATGTCAAGCTTCGCCAATAGGGACAGCTTGCTTGGACCAGAAATAAAGCCGGTTGATGCTATGAGCAGAGCAACAGGCCTTGATAATTATGGTGTTGTCGGTCTTCAACGGCAAATCATGAAAGGCAAGTTTTTATCTGCTCCTCCATCCTCAATTTGTAGGACACTTTGTTCCTTTACTTGGCTGCTCAAATTTAAACTTTGATGACATTATATGAAAAATTATTTTAAACATTTTTCACAGGTTTCAAGAATTTTGATTTATGTAGCTAATCAAATTATTACTTTGATAGCTTAGTAGTTTCTTCATCCTTTACTACTTATACATGGTGTTTATTTAAATTGAGACGCCGGGAGTATTCAGTTTTGTTTATTCGGGAGTATTTAGTTTGAAATGTTTCTAAGTTCTTGGCTTTTGTTTTCTGTTATTTTGCTTATTTGTTGGCTTTACTCTCAAATCAGAGCAAGATGAGGGCCTTGAGAGTTTGGAGGAGACAGTGATGAGCACCAAACATATAGCACTGGCAGTTAATGAAGAACTTGGCTTGCAAACAAGACTTATTGTATGAGCTCTATTTTCCCGGTTTATATTGAACTATAGTTACTCTTTATTTTCTTATGGAAATACAACCTTTCTCCTACTATAGTGGATACTGATTTCATTGCACTTTCATTGTCTTACCCTATGCAGGATAACCTGGACGAACATGTTGATGTTACAGACTCAAGACTTCAGGTGAGAAGTTGTTACTTGTAGGACCACTTGCTTGGACCTGATTTTGGCTCTAGTTATCGTGAGCATTGGAGTCTGTGTATTCATTTAGAGTTCGCGGACATCTTCTCGCTTCCGCGAAAATTGTTCAGAGGCCAGTCAATTTGGATTGACTAATCATATCATGTTTAATTTGAGAAGAAAGTCTAAAACTATCATGTGTTGAGGTTCAGTATGGGATAAATTAAAATACTTAGAAGTTAAATCATTACACCCCGAGGCGTCTTTGTTATTGGGATGGTACCTAAAGACGGGTTGTATGTTTTCGAAAAAGGTGAGTTGCTAGCACATTAAGGATATAGGTGAAAGGGAAAACACTTCTGTCCTAATAACACAGGTAATTNGAGTTTAGGAGGAGACAGATGGAACTGTCAGGGGATATGTTTTTCCTTTTCCTATTCCATAATCCTGAATGCGTTGAATCACCAAAAAGGTTAAGGAGGAGGAGGAACATTTGTGAAATCTTTTGGAGAAGAGACATTGATGGAAAGGCAAACTAACTGTCTTTATTAAACAAAGTGATCTGCCCACGGAGGACTGGGCCTAGCTTGTTGAAAGAACTGGAGTGACAACCTTGTAAAAAATGTTAGATCCAGAGAGGCGAAACTAGGTGAAATTCTTACATCTACCTACGTCTATGCACGTGCAAGTTTGCCTAGACACCACCTTTTTTCCAAAAAAGAAGGAAAAAGAAAAAATAACCTAAACAAAGCGTCTGCACCAATAGAGCTCTTTATGGAGTATCTACATGAAATCTGAATGCATCTTTTACCAGACCACATATAGTTTATGGTATTTGGTCATTGGATGAGATATATTAGTTTTCTGCTAATTCCAACACCTATGCTCATTCATCCAGTAAAAAAAAAAGACCGTGCTCTAAAACAGACACTTGCTCTGTTAGTAAGACAGTTCTTGCCCGTCTCCTTTTCTTCAGTTATCCTATTCATGGTGAGAATTCTAACTGTCATTTAATTCATTCTTCTTTCCTGATTCTTCAAAATCATTCAACAGCGAGTGCAGAAAAAGCTTGCAATTTTGAACAAACGCACAAAGGGTGGTTGTTCTTGCATGTGCCTGCTTTTATCGGTGCTTGGGATGGTAGTTCTTGTTGTGGCAATATATATGTTGATTAAGTATCTGTAAATGCAAAAGAACTAGTGCCTTGGAGTGTGTGTATGAGAAGTGTCTGTGAGAACTTGAACATCTCTTTCTGTTTCTACTGTGTAATCAATTTTTTTGTGATTGTGTGATCACATCAGTGTATTGAGACTTGAGACAGCTTTGAACTCGTTTTCCTGCTTGATATGCTTTCATATGTAGAAAAGACATCGAGAGCAGCTTATAAAGTCTATTAATACTAGGTTTGAGTAGTTTTTCTGATAGGCATCAGTGCACTGGAGTTCTCCTTGGTTTTATATATTTGTTTCTTTCGTGTGCAATTGTCTTGAAATTTAAATTTTTTTAAAAAAAAGATGAAGGAAAAAGTTCTTTTTTCTTTGGAAACTTGCACCTCGGTATGCTTTTTTGTGATTTTGGAAGCTATCAATTGTTTTGTTTACCGAACGTAAGCGTAATATTCGTTTTTCGATCTACTCTTAGTGGGCGTTTGAACATAAGAATTGGAAAATTTCAAAAAAAAGGTGAAAAAAATTTTCAGGTGAAAATGGTATTTGAAAATTAGAGTAGTGTTTGAACATGAATATAATTTCGATTTGTTTTTGAAGTTTTGTGAGTGATCTGACTGAAAAATTTGATAAATAGCTTTTTGTAGTTTTTCAAATTTTCGAAAAATTCCAAAATTATCTTCAAGTGAAAATTAAAAATTTTATGGCCAAACACTGAGTTCGAAAAAAAGTGAAAAATTTCTTATGTCCAAACGGGCTCTTAATTTTCTTCATCTTTTTCCAAATAAGACAAAGGAATATACGTTTAACTGTGTGACTCTAATAATTCATCAAGTTATCGTTTTGCAAGAAATTGGAGATTTTAATTTTAAGAGGTATATTGTGAAAGTGAAACTTTGAAATAATGGTTGCAAATTGTTGAAACGAGCATATAGTTGTGCAAATCACAAAGAACAACGAGTCTGATCATGTCATCAGAAAGATTTATATTTAAAAACTTGTAGAAAGTGGAATCCTAGGCGCTACTTCTCGCAGCAAAACAAGTTGAAAGTAATTCAATTGTTTTTAGGCACCATGTAAATGTCGTAGCACCGCTTACACTGTCTAAAAATATGAAAATGATACAAACTTCAAATATTAAAAAAATAAATAAAATAAATTGAAATTGATAATATTAGTGATAATAACAAGAACAATAATAAGAGTTTAATATAATAATAATAATAATAATAATAATAATAATAATAATAATAATAATAATAATAATATAATCTTCTATCTATATAGAATAACAAAAGCAAAACTACGTTAGGCTGCCAAGTGGAATAGCCACAATTCTAACACATGTTAAAAATTAGGACTACTCTCCAAGATAGTTGGAGTTTCAAATTCAAACTACAAATCAGGAAAAAAAAGTTAAATTTATCAAATTTCAAAAACTTCCAATCCTCCCACGATTGTGTTTTTGCAGTTAATCTCATTATTATTATTATATTATATATTAGATTATTAGACTTGCCTATTAAAAACAGAATTCCTTCCTCTTTTTTGGTTCGCTGTTATAAAAAAAAATCCTCCCACTTTTTTAGTTGACCGTTTTTTACTCAACAACTACCCTCTCATATTTGCAACTAGTATATGTACCCGCGCGATGCGCGGATCGAGTCAAATAAAAAAAGAGCAAAGAGAGATAATAGAAACATATGTATATTGCAGATTAAAAAATTTAGGGATTGAATTCAAATGAATTAAAATAAAAAATAAATAGATGAATTTCGTTGGGGCTAATATTGGGGCCTAAGTATGATCAAGACCAAATGACAGTATTATTCTAAGAAATTTTCCCAGTAGTTGTGAAGATAGCTTAGACGTATGGTGCTATCCAAGACCTATAAACAATTAAAAAAAAATTAAACATCAAGATTTGAGTACAATTTATAAGGAAAGAAGTCACATTGAATAATAGTTCATTGTTCACCTTCTTTGTGTTCGCTCATGAAATAAAGCAACTTGACAAATAGATGAAGTATTTATCTTTCGTAATTCATCTGTCGAAGTTAGCTGAATCTTTTTACTGATGTGCTACTGTATATATAGCTTCATCACTTCATGGTATGAATGACAGAGTATCAATGAAGAGCAGTATAGAAAAATCAAATGGCCCGAGCAGCAGAGAAAGATCAGATAGTCCTTTTAATATCCCTCGCCAATTTCGTCTGTAAGACCGTAATTGTATCTATATTGATTCGAACATTGAACTATAAAATCAAGAAATTCAGCTTTATTCTGAAACTTAAGTTTTGATATAAGGTATTGTAATTGGGATTGTATTGAAAAATAAATAGATCCCAAGTATCTTATCTTATTTCTTCTTAATAAAGGATCCAGAGGATGGAATAACTTACAAAAAAGAAGAAGAAGAAGAGATAATGCTACAACAAGCAAAACTACCCGTCCACCTAAATACTCAAGTATCTAACAAAATTAAGTCATTCAACTTTAATTTAAAGCTTAAGCTTTGATTTCTGACACTATAATTGGGATTGGTTTAGTTCTCAAAAGATAGAAAACAGATCATGAAAAATAAAATACAACTGGAAAAAATGAGAAGATTTAATTACCGAATATTTCACTGTCGTCAAATTCTTGTGAATTTGACAGCTGCTTCATAGGTCTAACTTTGAAGTTACACATGTTGAAATATGGATCCTTTATTTCCTATTGATCTTCTGCGTGAATATAAACTTAAACTTGTGATCTTTGGTTTTAAGCTTCATATTATTTGGACAAACCACGAAATTCTTCATAACATACAAACCTATTTCCTTAATTTGTTGGTTGAACCTTTGGATAAGAGATATGCCAACACTTGCGTAAATGTGATCTTCCTACAAAAATACTCAATTAGTTAAATGACTATTTAACTGATGCATATGCAAACAATGAAAAATAAAAGTATAAAATTTAAAAGCATAATCTTTTCATCAATAACCTCACAATACGAACCTTCATTTTCCAGTTCATTGACTTGCTGTTAATTTCGCTAATGAAATTACGTTCAGCCGCCATTAACTCCTCTGTTAATTGAGTAGAAATGTGAATCAAAATAAAGACACTTATGCAGAGTAAGGTGATTTACATTACTACAATATGAACCAAAATATAAAATATATTTTAAATAAAGTATCGGGAATAAAAAAGTGTCAGCAGTGTCAGCACACTCATATGCATTGTTCTATAGTTTCTGTAGATAATCATTTTAGAACTTTTATCATATAATCATTCCAACTAAAGAAAAATCAGAATTGATTATATTTCCTGTATGTTGGTATATTTTCAAGAATTTACAGAGTTTCAACCAAGATCTTAAAATATGTTTCGACAAAGCACAACAAAGCCTCTTGTAACTCAAATTAACACAAAATACAATTTAGAACATCAAAGAAAGAAGCGAAAAGAATGAAAAGTGGAAAATTGTGAAGCAGATTGGGGTAGTTAGCCAAAGAATTACTTGTTTCCCCACTACTGTAAATCCCACAATAGATAGACCCAAATCTGCTACTAATTAGGAATTGTGTTTAAATGAAAAATTATAGAAGTTATTGAGTTATGGTTGCGTGGACGACAAAGCAAACATACCTTCATAAACACATATCAAACAAAGCAGTATCAATTAGTAGGAGAGCAATACTACACCTATAATGTACCAAATCATCTATGACAACATGGTGCAGTGAACTTATAATGGAAAAGACTTAATAGCTTCTATCCAGAATTCCTGCTTGATGTGCACAAGGGAGAAAGAGTTACTTATTGTAAAAGTAGAAAAATGATTTCAAAAGGCTGTGAAATCATGTTACTGACAATTCCCGCTGAAGAGTTGGTGGGATATGAGTTAGAAATCGTGGTTTGAGATCATGGGAATGAAGTATCATCGTGGGAACCAAATATGTAGGAATCGTTACTTTTTAGGTCAAAGCACAAGGAGGGGAGGAGTTATATTAGGGGTGGGTTTCATAATATAATTTTAATTTCAGAATGTCTTTTATTATTTTGAAATTCAAATTCAAAAAATAAACTAAATTTACCTAATTTAACTAGTACTGTCTCAAAATTGGCACATGGCATCCTCTTCATTCGACACTTGGCAAATTTTCATGGCTAACTTCTTTGCTTTTAATAATAGATAGATTATATTGTTATAAATAAAAGTTAACAAAAAAAAAAAGAGAGGAGGAAAACAATTTTTTTTAAAAAATTCGGCCATGTATGAAGTTGGTGTTTTTCTTTAACAACTGCCCACTCAAATTTGCAATTATTTTTTTATACATAAAAGTGAAAAAAGGAGGAAAACAGTCGGATTTTATCCCACGACTGATCGTACTCCCAAACGTGGGCTTCCAACCAAAAATCCCTATTTTATCTACACCTCCATAACTGATTGATTTATGCGCTTTATATTTTCAAAGGCTTTTCAACTTCATATTTTATCTACTCAATATACCAGTCTGATTACAATTGCTTTGCAAATATGGTTACACAACTTCATGATATCAAACAAATTTCAGGCAACTCGATGCAATGAAATCTCAAAGTTAGAGTCATTCGAATGTGGGTAATACCGGATTATTTTAAGCCGGAAATACCGTATTCAATTGTATTGGCTTTACAAGATTCGAAGGTAACATATTCAACTTTCTCATATTTTTAAACTTCCGTTTAGAGTGAAGTACGGTGCATGTATGGATGTTATGCTACTCTTTTTTCATATTAGAACAATGGTGGACACGAAGAATTTTCGTAGTTAAAGAATCAGTAACTTCAAAGACTGCTTTACTAAAGCAAGAAGTGTATTATGTATTGGGTCAATTACATACTAAAAACGCTACCGATGCACTATCCAGGTCTATTAAAGATGCCGATAAGTATCCAATTGTTAACATTAAGCGGCCAAATTATTGGTTCTCATAACTTATGCAACTTCTTAAAGATTTTTCAAAGTAAGAATCACTAACTGTCTATTTTTGTGTTTTTTTTCTGTATAATTATGCATCTTCACATAATTGAATTTCATCTCTTCAATCTCATTATTTGATTCTATTCATATAATTTTCTCTAGTAATATACTGTCTTTTGTCATACAAGACAAGATATTCTCATATAGTATTGACAAAGATATCATGTATTGTGAAATCTTCAGAGAATCGATTAATAATAAGCGAAAGCTTCGGTTTTTTCATTTGTTAAGCATAAATATTCTCAGATCTAAATTCGTTACTATTTTGGTTATAATCAAAATTTCTTTTTTCTTTTTCCATTTACTGTTCAGTTATGTCAATTACAACATATTATAAGTTGGATTTTTCAACATTCTATTTGAAACGAGTAAGTAAATGAAATTCGTTTGGTTTTCTTATTTTCTACATTTTTTTAGTTTTGTAATGTCAATTTAAAAGAGTGAGATTCTTATTTTCTGAGATAGTATGAAGAAATTTGATGTCTGGTCATAAAGTATTGACAAAGATCGAATATTTTACTTTTTTAACAATGATATGTGTTTGTATAGTCAATGATTTATTTTGTTTTGCAGACGAATTAGATGCAAATGACAGTAAGGGAAAAAATTTCAATCATCATTGAAGGTATGTTGATGGCCTTAATCTATACAACTCCTTGCTTTCCTTCTATGATTGTAATGCAATAGCAACTTGGGCTGCATAAGTTGGACATATTTAAGTATGCTATACAACATATCAGCATCAGACTCTATACTTAAAGTTTCGACCAAAGAAAATACACCCTCAATAGTCAATTCTGAACTAACATCATAGAAGGCTATACCATTTTTCATGACTTCAAAAATCATGTCGCAGTAGTATCTGAAAGGAGACACCCTCATGTCACGGCAAACATACTCCGCAAGGTGATATGGAAAGAGCTGCAACAGAACATAATGACATTAAGTTATTGTGCATTAGTCCCAATTCATAAGGTGCATATCCAAGATATAACTTTATTGGTCTTGAAGGTAATAAAAGATCAACATTTGACTAACTTCTATAATCTAAAGGTTCAACTTGCAATTGCTAAAGCCAAAAAGGAGTTCCTGGAGATGCATCATAGCTTTATTTTTCAAGCTGGGGAGCAGTATGCTGAATTTATAGCACATGCTATGTTGTTGGAATCTGATACTCAGACTGCTGCTCCAAATCAACTACTATACTGCTAAGCCACTGCTTTAAATTTGGCAGTAGTACTGGAGATGATGTTCATCGTAAGCTTTCAAAGGTGATTAGATATCTACCTTGTGTGTGTACTTATGATATCATATCCTCGTTATAATATAGCTAGATGTTTTGTCTCTTCTTTTTCTAAAAGATAATTGAAATACTAATTTCAATTCGCGCCGTCTTTTCCATTCACAAACCTTATTTTTCCAGGTGCTCTGCTCATTTAATTTAAACAGTTACGCTGCTACCTTGCTCTCTTTTTCTTCGAAGGTATGGAGTTTATACCTTGGCGCAAAATTTAGTGATTCTTATGGTTGATGTAGAATTATATAATGCTTCTTTAAATAGTTAATACATGCGTACATGCTTCGCCATTAGGGATTGATTATTCTATATGGACACGGTTCAATTTGACCGTTTGGCCCATTACAAAGTTCTCATGCCGAGGCCCTCTTAGGCGCGAAATGTCTTTCCTGGAGCTATAACCTCCGAGGGTGATACCCCCCAGTATTCGAGGTTGATTAAAAAGAAGCCTTGAATACTCGTTGAGTGGACCTTGGGTAGCATATAGGTGTTGCCTCGTTAAAAATCTTGCCGGTAAAAACCCATTTGGGACAAAACCCGATCTAAGGGAAAAAGAGTGCAACGCATGCTTTCAAACCCAAGGTCTTCGAGCTTAGCAATAATATCGCTTGAGCATTGATATATTCCAATTATTTGGTAGCTCCTCGCCTTACATTGTGCTGAGTTTGTAGGATCCTTTCCCTATGACTCCAAGGACACGGTACGGTCCTTTCCAGTGGGGACCTAGCTTCCCTTAGTTTGGGTCTCGAGTGTTAAAAGTGACTTTCCTCAGTACTAAGTTATAGACTTTGAAATATTGAAGGTTTGTACTTCTGTTGTAATACCTTTCAATTCTTTGTTTTTGCGTGGCCATTCGTTTTAATGCAGCCTCATGTTTTTCATCTAGTAGCTCAAGAAAAGTGGTCATTGCTTCGTATTTTAGCCTTCGGTGGCATGCTAAAACCTTGCGCTAGGCTCCCCGATTTCGACTAGGATTAAAGCTTCGAATCCATATACCAAAGAAAATGGGGTCTCCCCCGTACTTGACTTCGATGTTATTCGATATGCCCATAATACCTCGGGCAACACCTCTCTCTATTTCCCCTTTGCATCATCTAACCTTTTCTTTAAGTTTTGGATAATAGTTTTGTTAGTGGACTCGGAATGTCCATTTGCACTTGGGTGGTAAGGTGCCGATAGGATTCTTTTGATTTTATGGTCCTCGAGGAATTTTTCACTCTGCTGCCGCTGAACTATTTTCCATTGTCATATGCTATTTCGGCGGGTATCCCGAACCGACATATGATGTGGTCCCATATAAAATTGATAACTTCTTTTTCTCTTACCTTCTCGAAGGCCTGTGCTTCAACCCATTTTGAAAAATAGTCAGTCATAAACAAAATGAATCTAGCTTTACCTGGCATCGTTGGTAGGGGCCGACGATGTCCATCCCACATTTCATGACTGGCCGTGGGGATAGGACCGAGTGGAGTTGTTCACCGGGTTGATGAATTATTGGTGCAAATCTCTGGCATTTATCACACTTCCAAATGAACTCCTTGGTATCTTTTTCCTTGTTGTCCCAATAATATCCCGCTCTGATCACCTTACGAACCAGAGAGTCTACACCGGAATGGTTCCCATAGGAGACTTCGTGTATTTCCCATAGTATACAATCTGTGTCCCCGGGTCCCAAGCATACTGCCAGCGGTCCATCAAAAGGTCCTTCTGTATAATGTTCCATTTTCATCGAGCGAGAATTGAGCTGATTTGGCTCGGAGTGTTCTTGACTCCTTTGGGTCCGAGGGGAGCTTCCCATGCTTTAAATAATCGATGTACTTGTTCCTCCAATCCTATGTTAAGCTTGTTGAGTAAATCTCTGCATGGACTTCTTCGATCACTGACTTTGACAACTGGATGACAGCCCCCGGGATGATATCATCTTCTTCGGCCGATGATCCCATGTTTTCTAGTGCGTCGGCCTCGCTGTTCTATTCTCGAGGTACATGATCTAGTGTCCATTCCTTGAAGTGGTGCAGAGTTATTTGAATTTTGTCCAAGTACCTCTGCATTTGATCGTCTCGAACCTCGAAGATTCCGTTTACATGGTTTACCACTAAAAGGGAATCACGCTTTGCCTCGATGACCTCGGCTCTAAGGCCCTTGGCTAGTTCAAGACTTGCAATCATGGCTTCATACTCAACCTCATTGTTAGTCAATTTAGAAGTTTTGATAGATTGCCTAATAACACTGCTCGTAGGCAATTTCAAAAAGATGCCGAGCTCAGACCCTTTCATATTCGAGGCACTATCCATGAAGAGGGTCCAAACCCCCGCCGATGTACCTATTTTTAGCAAGAATTCCTTTTCTACTTCGGATACGAGGGCAGGTGCGAAGTCGGCCACGAAGTCTGCCAAAATTTGAGAGTTGATGGCCATCCGAGGTTGATATTCGATTTTATATCCTCCAAGTTCGATGGCCCACACGGCCAATCTGCCCAATAATTCAGGTTTATGCAAGACATTTTGAAGTGGATATGTAGTTAGTACACATATAGGATGACATTGAAAATATGGTTTTAACTTCCTAGATGTGCTTATTAATGCAAGAGCTAATTTTTTCAAATGTGGATACCTAGTTTCAGCATCCCCTAGGGTCCGACTC